CATAAATTAATGTTAAATTGATCTTTATTTACTCACCCTACCATAAATTATTTTATACTAATTCACAGAAATTGTCGAAAATTAAATGAAATATTCACCAAAAAAAGATGATGACAGTCTCTTTTAAGATTTTCTTATGATCTACTTAATAGAAAATATTGGTTAAAAATATTCATTTGATATATTCTTTAGTAAAATGTTCAAACTCTACTTGTGTAAGCTATAACTTTCAGTGTTTAAATAACTTATGTTAGTTCAAAAATCACCAGCTAAATGTGTAAGACCCACCCTGGCTCTTTAGGTATTGGTGAGGACAATATGAGTTTAAGGAAGATGGACAATTATTGAGCATAATTACAACTTGCTGGATGTCCAGTAAATCACCTATTTCCTCATGTCTCTTGGATTTTACAAGTTCAGTAGAAGGTTTATTTATGCGCGGATTCACACAAGATGAAACACTTCCTTTAAGTTTGGCTTAATGGTGGCTTATAGGTCCTTAATGATGGCTTAATGGTTGTCTTTAAGTCACCGTTAAGCATCTTTAAGCTACCTTTAAGTAATAAATACACCACCATTAAGTTACCATTAAGCCTTCCAAAGTCCTTAATAGGTGCTTAAAGGTAGCTTAATGGTGGCTTAATGGTGACTTATAGACGCTTAATGGTAGCTTCTGGACAATCTTTAAGTCACCATTAAGCCACCATTAAGCCAGACTAATAGGTGTTTAATGTCCAAACTCCATTAAGCTACCATTAAACTACCTTTAAGCCACCATTAAGTCATGATCACCATTACGCAGTCGATAAAACTGTTTTAATGGGTTAAATATTATTTTTATAATATCTTCCCAAAAATTATAAATGTCGAGTTTACACATTTGTTAATTCGGCGAAAATAATGTAAAACAAAGAAAGAAAAAATAAATAAATCAAAAGAAAAAAAACGTTCCCTACAGGATTTGATCCCACGGCCTTTGATTGGAGGGCGAACGCTTTATTCACTGAGCTATCGGGCCTGTCAATGTAGTCGTAAAATATAAAACTTTTATTTTTAACAAAACTTGTTTGGACTGGTACCTCTACATGTATTTTTTGCTAATGTTTATATTTATTAACCAATAATATGAATGATTATATTTATATATATTTTATAAAAAGAAACTTTTATTAAGTTTTATATTACGTAAATATTTCTTGACCGTGGAGCGGAGTTCGGTGTGATGGTGAGAAACAACTTTTTGATTTTAAGTTACTGAATTCCTCGTTCTGTTATTCGCAGATTTATAAGCATGAAAAGATTGAACTTCAACAGATATAACAAAATTTTGTAATTATAAAAAATATATCATCGAAAGAAAATGATGGGAAAAAAAAACCCGGATTATAGTTCTTAAAAATATGCTGCGGATATTTACGATTTTTTGTATTCTAAATAACTGACAATCTTTGCGTAACATATAAGTTATAAAATGTTTTTTTTAACATATCATCTTCAGTTTTAATTCTTTTTATATCATTATGGGTATCAAAATAATTGTCTTTTTTCTACAATCATAATTTTTTATTTGTTATATGCTTGCGTTGAATTTTAAGTTTGTAAAAATAAATCATCAAAATATGTCACTGTAAGTTCCCGTGTGTAGTTTCCTGTTAGCTGACCAGGGACTGGTGGGGGCACCTAATTAAGGTCTATTGTTTAACCAGTCGATATACTGTACACTGTTTATTTTACCCCGCTTCCCAATGTGTATAAATCTGGTCGGATGACATGTTTAATCTGATCGGCTGTTCTTCTGAAAATTGATTTTGAAATAACAATCATTGAAGACCAACTATTTTTGGATAAATTCTGCTTTATTTTAAATAAATTCTTACTTCTGCATTAGTTTAAAAGAAAGAAAAAAATAATGGCACTTAACCACGAATTAATTCAAATTATTCATGATGGAATTCAATGATTGGCAATATAATCTACACCTATATATTTTTTTTTTATCTTAAACATTTCTCTACCCAATGAAAAATTAAGAGACTTAGAGATATTATATCTTTATATTCAGAAGAAAATTACTTTAATTACAATATTTCCTATGAATTCGGCAGCGGAACGTGGCTCTCCACACACGAAAGAAAAATGCGTGATTTTTAAAAAAATAATTTATATTATGTGTTTATGGATAAAAATAATTATGGAACAAGTATTAAAACAAACTGATTTTAGATAGCGAAAATTTTAAGGCATTTTGGTGAAGCTGTTCTCAGTTCCCGAGTTTATACGAATTGACATAAATGTTAGAATTATGAATTGAATAAGAATTTGCGTAAATTATATTGAAACAACTTTACACTTAACAAGTTAGTTTAAAGACTTGATATAGGATGCCTTAAGGTGGTTTAATTAAGTTTGGACATTAAGTCACCTTTAAGCTGCAGCTTAAAGGTGGCTTATTGGTAGCTTAATGAAGTTTGGACATTAAGCACCTAGAAGCTGCAGCTTAATGGTGGCTCAAAGGAATTAACTTCTATAAGCCATCATTGAGTTACCATTAAGCCACCATTAAGCGATTGCTTAAAGATGGTCTTTCGTCCTGTGTCAGGACTTTTTACAAAGTTTGTAGGGGTGGTCCACACCAACTAAAAAAAAATCTGTATCGAAAAACAATATGTTGAAAAAATTATTGTTGGATTAATTGACGTGTAATTTTTGCAGGAAGCAACAAGCCTAAAATGATTTTGATTGATAGGGAGACTGGGAAGGTGAAGATATTAAAGTTACTGAGTTAATGAATATACTTGTATTAAGTCTTTTTATTGTCTCTATAATATGTTGAATTTGCGACCGTTAAGATGAGCGCAGATACGTTACCAATTCAGTCTGAACTTAATCCGTCTCTTCAAAGTGCACGTGACATTTGGTACGTTTAGAATCTAACGTTACATATGACGACGAATGTAGGTTGCATTACCAATTCGAAGCTTCTAAACAGTGCTAGTTTTATTTAAAAAAAAAATATTTATCTGCAATATCCATTAATTCAAGGTGTTTTAATTTTTTCCTTGAACTTTTGCTGTTACCGCAAGGACGTAGTTTACGGCGAGAAACATTTCGCAAAGGATTGTGGGTCCAGTGGTAACTGCAGAAAAGAATTCGATTGATTCAATATTTAAAGTCCGAATTTTCTTTTCGCCCAGGCGTTGCTTTAAGAGCTAGCAGTGACAAGCAGCTCGCCGCGCTTGCTAACATTGTGAGTTAATGACGATGCCTGAGCCAGCTGGAGTTGACAGCGCTCTAGCGCCATATTAAAATATCAACGGGAACATTTTTCTGTACTTAGGGAAATCAGTGCACATGGGCCTAAAATGATAAAAATAGTGCTTTAAAATGGTCTACAGACACAAGGTTGTCTCTCTGTAATAGATGACTACGATTGTGTTTTTCTGTATATGCCGAAATGTTTAAAAATATTACTTACAAAGGTGACCAAAAAAATACAGACTTTAAAGTTTCCAAATGGACCCCCATTGCGGCTCATGAATTGTTTTGCTCACATGGTTTTAAACTTCTCTTCTCTCTTATCCGTTTTTGAAGGATATCGGAATCTTTGCTAAATAAGAAGTTTATCGTTTGTGAATTTTAAGATCAGTCTGTTTCGATTGCTTTATGTTAGTGAAATACAATTAAGATTTCTGGTAAGGAATTCTAAATCTTACATAAAATATAAGAATTTTCGTGAAAAGGTTTACTGAATTGGATAGAAACACATCTTTTCCCATTAACATATAGAACATGGAAAACATCTACCAAAGGAACAACGGAAGGACTTTTACCGAGATTTACTACGAACCATGGGATGTACAACACTACAATGGATATCCAATCGACCAAATTCTCCGAGGATGACTCAGCTCTTTTTGGGGCGATCGTAGGAAGTCTTGTTGCTGTTGCTGTGTTGACTGTTCTTATTGTTTTAATAACAGTTGTCGTACGGAGGAGAAAACATAAATCTATAAGTATGAATTTTCTTTTCAAAATTTTCAGTTCTGTATATTTATTTAAAATTCAAAACTTACCATTATGTTAACTATGTAAATTTCAATAAAAGATGTAGTGGGAAAGCATTCATCGTGAATTTTGCAGAAAAACTAGTATAATCGGAACACCACTTGTTCCAAAGAAATCGGCTTAATAACCCAATATTCCGGATTAGACAACAATTTAAACAATTGGATTTATTAAAGGGGATTTAAAGTTAACATCATATTAGGCAAGATATCATCATACACAATATTCGGATTAGAAAGATTTTCTTGTTTGAACACTTATGGACCCTATATACACTAAAGCAAAATTATTTTTGGACATGGGAAAGTTATATTGAACGAAGGTGGACACACTGTGCTAATTTTTATTCTCATTTTCAACACAGAGTACCTGGCTCTTACCCCCCCCCCCCCCCCGAAATTTATTTTTTAAATGAAGTATTGATGAACAGAAATTACTGATGTTTAAGTGTGTGAGGAAAATACATGCAGATAAAGTGTTTAAGTAACTTGTCTTTACCTATTAATGTTAAAAATGATTGAATTGGTTTACCATTGAGTAAGAAACAGTAGGTTTAAAGTTTCTTAGTCCTATATCTAGGGGCAGATTACTATAAATGCATAAAATCACCATAGAATAAGACCTCTTTGGTGTGCAGAATAGAGATAGTTCTTTATGTCATCTAAAAAATCTAATGATTATTTGAGCAATTAAAACATTACATTTTTTAAGACAAAAAAGGAGAAGTTTTGACATAATTTCATAAATTACCATGGAGTTGTACTTTGTAACTACCTACAGGGTTCTCTGCATTAAAGGGAGAATCAATAGGTAACTCTTTAAAAAATATGCTCATATATATTATATTGATTATGTTAACACATCGTCCTGCAATGGTGATGAATATGTAATAATTTAAGTAAAATATTCATTCAATTGCCGTCATAGGATCGGAAATGCATGCTATTGATACACAAGAACTTGACGACACTGTGGACAGTGGTGAAGATCGTGTAAATGATATTACTATTGTTCCTGAATGTGAACGTCCACTGCTGGAAGCAGATGAAGGTATTAATAAAAACAATGTCATGTTTAAAGTTTGTGTCTTTCACTACAAGTTTCAAAATTTGAACGTTTAATATAATAATATTTCTTATTACTGAAGAATTTGGTGTAAGAAGACTTGTTCATAAAGTATAAAGCACAAAAGGATGTAATTGTCACATTATATCATCATAGGGCCCAAGTAAAGGACTTCACACTTATGTACCTATTGAAGAATAAAGTTTTTAACGAATTTTTATTTCAGGAATTGGGGAAATACAAGAAATGGGCGTCACTGGAGATCCAGAAAGTAAAGATGATTTTGTTACAGAAGCTGATGACAACGAAAATACTACTGAGCCTGAAAATTTATTGATGCAGAAATTAGGGAAAACGAGAAGTAAGAAAATAGATACTGCAAATCACAGAAAAAAATATTTCCGAGCGATTCAGTTTTTTATTCCAAGAACTTTTTTAAGAACTATTTAAGAGCTATTACTTCTAATAATAAAAATAAACCAAATCTACAAAAGAATTAATTTTTTAGAAATAGTATCATCTCCTGCTTTAAGATAAAGTTCCCACAAGCGAAATATTTATTCGATGTCATGTTATCCTACATCTTTTTTTAAATCCCTTATTTAAAAAGATGAAAGAAAAAAACCTGTACGTTAACAGTGTTACTTGATTTCCAAACTTGTGATTCATTGCGGTAAACTCAAAAGGTGATATTCAAGGTTGTCAGCTGGGAAAAATCAAGATAACTTGTTAAATTAAATTATGTTATGCTAAAATAAATTAATTCCTAATAACGTTTAAATTAAATAACTTTATGCATAAATAACCATATTGTACAGCATTGAATGATTTTAAATAAGGCCCGATGTTAAATGGTTTACAATGCAAAATGGTGCTGTCTTACATGTATGACAAACAAGGTTTTTTTTTCGTATTATTTATCTTACACATATAAATGGGATTATTCAGATAGACATTTTTTTTTTTTTTTTTTTTTTTTATTTATTTAAATAATCCAGTATTTTGTCTTTCGTAGATTTATTCAATCCTTTAGGTAATTACAGCCGGTGGAAGACAGATATATCAGGTTAGTATTTGTACGAAATTAGTTTTCTATTTTAAGATTAGCATATATTCCTTAAAATTAATTTCTATTATACTTTCACAAAGATTATATTTTATATACATACTGTGGATTAAGATGACTTTTAATAGCTTTTAGAGGAAGAGTCGTTTTTATACACGTAGATAATTTGCATATCTTATGCAGTGTATTGAAGTATTGGTGTTCGAAAGTACCCATTACTCAGAAACTGTCTCTAACACATTGGACGTTATTGCTGTGATCCCCTTTAGGTGCAGTGTTTTAATTGTTTATAATATAAATATAATGAATCCAAAAAATTCCAAAGAGCCCCGCCCTTTTCCCTACAGATCCATGCATATTACTCAGTACACAGAAGAGAGGTGACAGAACATATTTATATAGTTAGCATTTTAATAAGCTTACCTCAAAAACCGATATCGGTTATATGTATAGCTAAAATAGCCCATACTTTGATATTTAAATAAATCTGAGTAAGAGCATGGACACGAACGTCATCTTCTCACTGAATATCAGATCTGATAATTAGAGATGTCATATAATGAAAATGTCTATTTCTTCCCTAATGATCAAGCGTAGAAAAAGCTTTACACGGAATAATTTTATATTGATCCCCCCCTCTTTAGCTAAAAAAAGAAATATTGAATTGGTCCTGCACTCCCACCACCCCTCAGTTCCTCTATCTGTCAATTTGTAACTCAGTTTTCAGATATCTCTAACAATTCTTTCATTTTGCAATAAAATTCTATATTTTAACCTATTACTCCGAACAAATCCTTTTTTGAGATCAAAGGAAAAAGTCAGAAATTCAAATTTCTGATGATAACTTAAGTTCTCTTTTAGATTTACAATAAACATTAAAGTGAGGACTCTCTTTCTAATAAGAGTGTCCAACATTGACTGATATCATAAGTGAAAGGTCAAGATCACATGTTTATATATGCTGTGAAATTTTATACTTTAGTTTACAAATAATATCTCTTTAAATCCATGTATAACAAAGAATTTTTTTATCATATCATTATATGTCATAAGAAGACTCTTGTTGCTTTTGAGGCCAAAACATGAGAAACCAAGGTCAAAATGTATACGTGGTATGAACTAGTTTCCATGTTCACTTTAGTACTATTTATTACTCGAATAAATGGAATATTAATTTTTGAAATGAAAGTTTAAAAGTAATGTCAAAAATTGCTTCTGGATATCTTAAATAGGTATCGACCTTCAATAGTGGTATAAATTCTAATTTTTTTGCTTACTTCAGCCAAGACTCAAGTGAGCTTTCCGGGTCAAAGGTTGTGCAACGTCTATCCGACTAGCTGTCTGTCTTTCTCGTCCGAAGGTTTTTGTCTTTAAACTTACCGTATTTTTTTCCCAGCACCATCGGCCCAATTTCAACCAATTTTAACTTTCCACAAACAATATTTGGTCAAAAGGAATTCAATTTTGCTCATAGGAAGGGTCACATCCTTTTTTTAGGGGGGGGGGGATAATAAGGAAATACTGAAAATTTACTGGCATCATTTTGAACTCTTTTTCTTCTCAAGCCATTTGGCTAGAAAAAGCTCAATTTAGGTAAATACTTTTTTTTTTTTACCAAGTGTAGATTCTAATTTGACCATTTTATCAGCCCAATGAATAGGATGGAACAACTTTTGAAAATAAGAATATATTGGCAAAAATCGTTTAAAAACATTTTTTTTCAAAAACAGCAGAACCATGATAAGTGATATTTAAAATGTAAACAACCTCAGATAGTTCAGATTTAGGATTGTTCAAATCATGACCCCGGTTTAGGGTGAGGCCAAAAATAAGGTATCGAAGATTTACATTGGAATACTAAGGGGAAAAAATTCTTCAAAAATTTTTTCAGAAAATCTGGGTTGTGATTGACCATTTTCATGTACAAGCATTTTTTGGTATGCATATTTCAATTTGTTAAATCAATCCCCTTGGGGTAGTGTGGAGAAAGAATTAGGAAAAGAAGTAAGAATTAGGAATCGGGTTTTTCTTTCATGCAGGGTATCTTTGAATAACTTATTTACAATTAAACCAGGACCATGGCTGGTAATTTCAATATGCAAAATCGTCAAATAATGCAGATTCAGATTAATTCAAATCATGCCCCCAGATGTATTTTTAGGCCACTATAAGGAATCAAAGATTTACACTGATATATACAGAAAAAATCAATCTTTAAAATCTTTTATCTTCTCAAGAACAGAAAGGCTATGATAAGAGATATTACATGAAGTGTGCATTGTAGTATGCAATAATTAACAGATAGAAGAAATTAAAGTGTGTTCATAGGGTGTTTTGAAGACCATAATATATGATCAAAGATTCACACTGGAATATATAATTAGAAAAATAAAAAACCTTTATTTTAAGAACATAAGGTTGTGTTTTTGTTCGTAATATGCAAGCATTTTAAGGTAGTACATATTTAAGGTTTTTTTCAAAATCAGGACGCCCTTGGAAGGATGGGGTTAGAATAATTAAAGGGATCTTATTTTGTATGGAAAAATAAAATAAAGGAAAATATCCTTAAAAATTATTCTGCTCAAAACACATCATGATAAATTATATCAATATGAATCATTTCTTCTCGGGTAGTGCAGATTCAAATTATTATTATTATTATTATTATTATTATTATCTAGTCAAAGTCCCTATAGGCATGGTGTGGCCACAATAAGAAATCAAAGGTTTACATGAGAATATCTTTAAAAGCCTTCTCAAACAAGGTTACTGATTGGGCATATTAACATGTTCGAGGGTTGTTCGAAAAGTTTGTGGACTTCTGTCTTATTTTTTTTATTTACCGTCATATTATATCCAAATTTGGTAGAAATATTTCAACAATAAATTCAAATGATTTGTATTAAAATTTTTTAAAATATCTTGATTTATTTTAAACTTATTAGGAGTTAAAAACTACGAAAATTGGTTCGCGGAGCAAGTCAAAATTTTGTAATTTACAAACAATACACTAATTAATGTCTGTAGTCATATCATCTGTGAAATGGCTCAAAATCAAAATAAATTTAGACGATCAAATTAAGAATTGTTACATCGTTCCATATTCCAAATTATGACTTAATAGTTTCCTTCATGGAAAAGAAATCAATTCCTGAAGATAGGTAATCCTCATTGAAAAAGGCAAAAAAAAAAAAGTGACGTCGTAGAACGTCACGGAGCAGCAGTTTACGATACAATTTTCAGTTGTACTCTGGAAAACGTCAGAATAAAATATGGATATGTTGTAGAAAGCATGAAATGTCTCAAAAGCTGGTCATTCATATGTGTGTGTAAATGGCCTAGGCGGTATTTGAATGAGATAAACTCTGTGTCAGACGAGGACGATCTGTGAGAAAACGGATTATCTGTAAAGAATCAACCCAAAAACGTTCAGTTAGTAAGGTCTTGGAAAGAGAAAAGCGTTTCATGGTTGCTGGTCTTGTGAAAGCATAGTTACGCGATAAAAAAGAAAATAATGACAATCAAAATAATGCTGTTGGAACAATTGTTTACAAAATGAATTCCAATTGATAGACACACGTTTTAAATGAGCAGATATTGGACCAGACTGTGTGAAATGTATAGGGAGAATATTTTGAGAACCCCATGGCGCTATATTTTTGACGTTATAATGTTGTTTAATTTGCTCCGGGGTTATCAAACATGTTGATTTTAAAATAAAGTGAATTGATTTCTATTAAATCGAATGGAATGAAACTTCACACATCAACAAAATGAATATTTTTACATGTGATAATGTGCTTACATTAAATTTCTTGAAAGTAGTATAACGAGGATTGACATTGTCCACGAACTTTTCGAACAACCCTCGTATATGCAGGCATCTATGGAACATTGCTTTTACAAAGATTTGAAAAAGAACCCCCAAGGGAGATAAAATATCGATTGTTATCTTACGTGGAGACCGGTCCTTCGGATGAGACCGTATAAACCGAGGTCCCGTGTCGCAGTAGGTGCTGGCACGAAAAAGATCCCTCACTGCTCAATGGCCGTAAGTGCCGAGTAAAGGAAAAATATTGGAGCTCTCCACCGGCAAATGGTGGCATCTCCATATGAGTGAAAATTCTCGAGAGGGACGTTAAACAACATACAATCACATACTTACGTTTCAAACGCCATATCAAACGCCATATATCATACCTGTCAATGAAGCATTGTTACAACGCGAAATGTAATCACAACGCAAAATGTAATAAACTGAGATTATTACATTTTGCTTTATTACATTTCGCGTCGAGATCAAAATGTAATAACGCAAAAATGTTACAACATAATATTTGGATTATTACATTTTGCGTTGGGATTAACGCAAAATGTAATAATGCACTTTTTGGTTGTTACATTTAAATTTATGCTTTGAGGACAACGCAGAAAGTTATCAAACAAAATGTAATAAAACAAAATATAATAATGTATTTTTTGTATTGTGTTCATCGCAAAGCATCACAAAATCGATTTAAACATATAACAATTGGAAAACTCGCTTTACTAAATAGACAGATAGACCTATGACTATGAGACAATTGTTACGGTTTTTACGGACATTACTAAATCTAATTGTATTTTTTTTTAACTCTGTTAAATACTTATAAAACATTAACTTAACTTTGATTGAAATGTCTATTTATAAATCAGTCTTTATTAATTATATATCCATCACTGACATTCTTAATAACCAAAGATTGACCATGGGTCCATTAAAAGCACAGGCACCTGACGTCACTTATTTTTCTTTTAATAAAAAAAATATACCCCTACCTAATAATACACGGTGTTTTATTAGGTAGGGGTATATTTTTTTATTAAAAGAAAAATAAGTAACGTCAGGTGCCTGTGATTAAAAGTTCTTGATATTCATATACGACGTGCATGTGTACATTGTTTAACAAATTAGAAGTGTATGTGTGTGTGTCCGGCGAGGAGAAGCGGGGAGTAGGGGT